CACGAGTTAGAGATGATATTCGCAAGAATAAGAGATTGCATTTTGCTCTGTATCAATCCTTGAAGAAATCTCTTTATAAGCCTGCTGCCTTCAATAAGGGAATCTTGTTTCCTTTGTGTGAGGTATAAAACCATTGTGAAAAAATTCTTTAAATGATTGGAGAATTGCATTTATGTCCAAAGTTTACAACTTCTTTTGTAGAAACTAACAATGATTTGATTAGCTATATTGTTTTGATTGCCTACTGATTGTTTAAATGACTTGCTTTACAGCAAAATATAGGCCGTGACTCAGGGATATTGAAAAGTGGGTTATGGGTTTTCTGTTTATCTGCTTCTCTACTTTACGGGTATTTTGTTACAGCTGTGCAACAAAACTTGGTGAAATCTGGTGTTACATGCATGCTGAGAATTTTGTTGTTAAGCAGGAGTTACTTGAGAATCTGACATTCTTCTTGTATATTTTAGTTAACCAAAAGCTAGTAAGTGGATAAATGTAGTCAAAAGTTGCCTATGTGTTTCAAAGCCTTGCTTGCAATGAGATATTACAATTGTGTGCTGCCTCTTTTTTTCTTCCTTTCCTTTTTGGGGGTCTGGGTTTCAAACAATTTATGTACTATCTGACTCTTTTTCTTTTGTTGTTGGAAACTTTCATTATGCATGAATTCTCAATGAGAAAAAAGAAAAAGAAAAGAAAGTGTTGTTATGTGCCTTTCTAATCTCTTAGCAACACACGGCCATCCTGTGTTGAGATCAGTTTTCTCGGATACTCTTATGTACTTTCACATTGTCAGGACACACAGATTTAATATAGTTCTATCTTCTGTATCATCTCTTTGTATATGTGTATGATGCGTATCCTGCTTTCTGAAATGTCTATTTTCTGATCCAGTCAAGGACATGCACCTTGAGGGAGGCTGTGATCTTTGGGAGTGTTATTGAGAAGGTCTCCATTCCGCATCTTCATGCTAGGTATGGTTGCTGGAAATATTTATAGTGGTAGCAGTGACATGCATTTTTAGGGCTTTAAAAGAAGATGTCATCATATTTGTACCGTGAGATTCTCTTAGTTCTGCTGATGGTCTTTCTATATTTTTGTGAGAACCATGAGAATTTCTCTAATGATTCTCACCCTACACTATTTATATGGTTGACAAAGTTATGTGGTAACTTCTCTTACCTGTTTATTTTATGATGATTGGTGTCACAAGTGCTCTGGAAGAAATGCATTCGGTTCAATGTACTAGAATCTGAAATTCAATTAAAATACTAATAAAGAGCTCAAGCAAGATGCTAGAAATTTATGCAGTGAACTGAAATCTGTTACAAGTTTCTGCACGTCCCTAATACTGTGATCCCTTCATTCTAATAATTGGAGTACATACACCTACAAATTGCTTATATGGGAACTGCTAGCTTAGTAAACTATGTATACTTTGCTATATCATGGTTAAAACCTGCCTCTTTGGTTTAAAACAAGCCTGCAGTGAATATGAAAAAACCATTTGCAAATTGTGTACAGCCTTCATCCCACTTTAGGGCGTATAATTTGACTGGCTTTTGTAGTAATTTGACTTCATGTCTTCAAAAGAAGGAAATAAGAGCAGGCACATGTTAAGTAGGATAGAAATACTATTAAATTGTTGGGTTTTAGTTCCAAAAGGATAGATACACTAAGAGTAGTCAGTAGCTCAATAACCAAACTTCACATTTTTTACTGGAAATTTTAGCTTAGGACAAGATTAGAAACAGAAAGAGTACTCTATTTCTATAACTTATTCTTGTTGCAACTTCCTCTCATCTTTTGCAAATAAAGACAGTTATTATCAAGGTACTGCTGTCACTGTAATATCTCATTCTTTGAGAAGTCTTTAACTTTTAATCGTTCTGGTATGCAGTGTAGCGCTGCTGAAACTTGCAGAGATGGAGTATTGTGGCACAACAAGGTATTCTTCATGTTGTGCTTTCTTTTGAACTTTTTCCTTTTAGTTTACCCATGATTCAAGTGCCAGTAAAAAACTGTATACTAGGATATTTATCCTGGTTAATGTAAAGTAGCATTAGTTTACATCAGTCTACATTCTTTTGAACTGTATACTAGGATATTTAATTATTTATCCTGGTTAATGTAAAGTATCATTAGTTTACATCAGTCTGCATTCTTGGGGGGAAAAGTTCTGTATTTAGTTTTTAGGAATGGACCTACAGGAAATAGTTGCTTTTATTGAGATCAATGGGAGCTAAACTATACAGCTGGAATTTTTAAGCATCAGAATATGTTCAATCATGCAAGTCATGCTGCGTTATGCAGATTATTTTTTTCCGCTACAACTAGTCTGATCATTTTTTTCTTTCTTTTTGCTGCAGTTATTTCATTAAGTTACTGATTGAGAAGAAATATGCTTTGCCCTATCGTGTACTTGATGCCATGGTAGCACACTTCATGAATTTCTTTGATGAAACAAGAGTCATGCCTGTGATCTGGCACCTGTCACTTCTTGTATTTGTGCAGAGGTTAGTTTCACCCTTTCATTCTTGTGGTGTTTCTTCCTCTTTATGTCAAAATGGTAATTAAGCTCGAATGTTATTTTCTTATTTTGAATGATAAAAGCTTCAAGATTACTTCTTATACTTAACCCAATTGATAAGCTACACATTAGATTCATTGACGTCTTGCCTTCTACTGATCATCTTTTCTTTCAAGTAATCATACATGCTTTAAATTCTTTTTAGTGTCCATGTGGATTAAAATTCTTATTTGAATATATAATTACAAATTTATTGACAGAATGGGAATGTAAAATGATGATTAACAACAATTTCTTTTATATTAAGGAACATGATGTAACAATTCTTGTTAATTCCTAATGTCTACTTCACTATGCTGTATGACTGACACTGCCTTTCTAAGTATATTTTTAGGTAGACAAGTGTTGTCACTTATTTAGGTGATGTTATGTTCTTTTCTTTTAATAGCACTTCAATGGTAACCTTGATATTACCTTTGCATTATGGGGTCTTTCCTTTTTACATTCTTGTCAATTTGTCCAATAACATGATAGCTTTTGCAGAGTTCTGAATATTGTTTATACTATGTGGACAAATATTGTTACAGGTACAAAACTGAGATGAGGAAGGAGGATAAAGCTAACATAAGATCACTTGTTGAAAGGCAAAGACATAGATTGGTATGCTTTTGTATTTTATTTTTCATTGCTGCTGTTCTGTTTTCTGTTGATGCAAGCAAATTCAAGTTATGTTTGTGCTTTCAAATGCAGATTACACCAGACATATTGAGGGAAATCGAAAAGAGCAGAAGTCGTGGGGAAAAGGAGGATGATGCAATGTTAATTGATATCCTCTCATTGATGGTTTAAATCTTTCTGTTACATATCTGCTTGAGCTTAATTTGGTCTATTTATACCGTCTCCTGCTATTGCCATAATATAGTGGGGTTCTTAATGTTTTAAAAACTGCTGATGAAACAAAAAATCTTTAAATCTTCCGTGACAGTTCATGCTTAAATTCTGCTATTTCCTGTGTGTGTGTGCATATCTGCATTGATGGGATAGGTTGTCATGCACAATAACAGTCTTCTGTTTGTAAGTTTTGTGTATCGTTGAAGTTAGTTGCTTTTTGCAAGATGGATAATTTTTAACTTGTTTATTTCCTGTTCTCTAATGACTGAAATAAAATAGTAGATGTAGGTATGATTTATTCATGTTGCTAAAGTTACTTGTTGGATGTTCCTATTAATATTTTTTCTGCTGTATCATTGGAAAATATATTTTCTTAACTCTGTATTACCAAGTCCTCTTTCTGTGATCAATAAAGCAATTGAAGAAGATAGGTTTGATATCCCCGATGTTCCTATGGAGGAGGACTAGATTTTCTCAGCAACCTCTATACGTGGTAAGATATTCGCTCATGTAAATGAAGTTTCTAGGTGTATTTATATACGCGCAAAGCTCCAAGCCAATACTGCAGACTAAAAAGTTCTTTGTTCCCTTCAGATGCAGTATGTGATGGATGGTATACTAGCAGATTTAGGTTTCAATATATAATAGAGATGGTGCTGTGTGACAAGATAGATCAGCATGCGTGCATGTGTGGGCTGTTGGAGTTGAACTAGAGATTTTGCAATATATTCTTTCATGATTTTTATATTTTTTGGTTCCGTCTTCATCGGCATATGCCTAAGCAGGTTTATGCAACGACGAACCTAAAAGTTGTAACTGCCATGGTTTTTCGAAGTTTAGTGTATCAATGATACTCCCCTGAGAATACATGGGGTTAAATTTTACTACTATGACTCCATAGTCAACTATGCTTCAGTCCAAAACAAGTTGAGGTTGGCTACAATTCAAGTAGTTACTGAATTTTACCCATCAAGTTTAGATAAACAAAAGAACAGAATTCTGTGGTGAATGAATTTTACGTTTTTTTCTTTAATTATGTTCTTTGTTCTTAGTTTGTGCAACATTGTTTATCCATTATCTTTTTGCACAAATATGGATACTAGTTACTTTTCCCCACCAAGGTATAGATGAATGAAAAAATAAAAATAAATAGAATATGCCTAGTATTAATCTCCCACAAGAGGTAAGGGTAATGTTTGTGTATAATCCACTCCTCGAATTCCACTTGTGGAATTGTGGTCCAATTGATTTGCACAAAAAATATTCCTTAATAATAATGAGATTCATTTTTTTTTATAATTAATACAACAATGAATATACTTTCTACAAAAATTGGAGTTATAATCATATTTCATACATACTTACGTAGCATAATTATGAAATATAAACTTCTTGTATCTCATTTGTTGCATTTTGATAGCTAAATTTTTGTTATTTGAGACATTAGAGTGAGTTTTGATATCTAAAAAGCAATAAAGGTAAAGGTAATATATATATATACAAAAATTCTGTATACTCATTATTAATATATACAAAGCATATATATTATCCGTTATTATTTTGATGGAGAATATATCGCATGAAAATCATGAATCGCCCAACTATTGGGCCTCATGGCATTAATCTCGAAGAAAATCATTTCTGGCCTTGGCCCGAAAAAAGTTGAAATCGCCGGGATTTGTTCGATCACAATTCACACAGCCAATTGAATAGCGCGCCTTCTGTGTCTGCAATGAAAGAAGCGAAAGAGATCCAGTTTAAGGTGTTTACAGTGGTGGAGTATTGATGGATAACTGATGCCATTGTTCCGGAGTTGTAATTCTTCTTAATCAGCAGAAACCGAATCCGGTAATTCTATTTTGATCTCATTAGTTTAATGTTATGGATGAATTTATGAAACAATTTGGATTCGTTATTGCTGTGATTACTACTAGAAGAACTAAGGAAGCAATTAAAAGAAGCTGATATGGGAATTTCAGTATTGTAAACCTCAATTTTTATAGAGCTGAGATGCTCCTGCTGGAAATTCCTTTAACTAACTCTAAGCTAGCGTTTGACCATAGATTTTGGGAGTAAGTTATTGAAATTCATCTTCAAATATATATTTGATCACGAAATTTGATTATATTTGAAGAACTGATCTACAAAGACCAGTTTTCGGATTTCCACTACAAAACTTAAAATTTTTTCCAAGTAGAATGCATGTCCAAGCACAACTTCAAAAACTCAAAATTTGAAGTTTCAAGTTTTAACTTCATACTCCAGGGATCAAGTGTAATAGATAAACTTTTTAGGTATTTTGAAACTGTGGTAGGAGTAAGGTCACTTTAGGGGACTCTACTGTGCAGCTTTATTGCAATGGAGAACACTTGAGTAACACATTGGGGAAATTCTTTTAGCATTTCTACCCCTTGATTCTCCCTTATTATCACCAGAATGACACTTGGTTTGGCCACGTGTCTAAATGAACGGGGAATAGAGGTCAATCCGATCCATGAATTCAGCCCAGAATGATGTTAACCTTTAGGATTGTGAAGTTGAAAATGAGATCCACTTGACATATTCCTTATAAGTTTGATTGTAGCTGATGGCATAAAATCCTGTGCAGTGGCATTGCCATGATTTTGCTTAAGTAGTGTCAGCCTATTGTCTGGATATCGGGTTGTGGGAATTCTAAAGCTTTACCTCATGTCCCAAGTTTATTGAAGCGGTTGGATTCTGCAATTACATATTGTTTCTATTCACACACACACAAACTCACTCTCTCTCTATGTGTCTTCGCCGCTGGTTCTATGATCATCTTCCATAGTACATCTTAGCGGATTTAAATTTTGATGGTCAGGCGGAAATTTGACGTCATAGACTTCATTCAACGACATTTCCTCTTGATCTTCACCCTGCTCCTCTTTAACTGACTTGCCATCATCCTTCCCAACATTCTCTTCTATATCCTCCTTCATTTCCATAAACAATGTCGAGGTGTTTGGGCTCGTATCGATGCCCCAGAAAGTACTTTTAGCTTCTGTTTACATAGTAGATTGTATGTGAGGTAACAGAAAGTTGAAAGGTTTGTCGATGGAAGACTAGATGGCTTGGGATAGCTGTGGAGCTCTGTGTTAGGTGCTTGGTTTCAGGCTATTTATTGGAAAGAAGCTGGATTATGGAGTAGAATTGTGTTTATCGGATTGATGGATTTCATGCTACTTGCCTGCTTCATACACAGCTGTAAGAGTTGTAGGATGCTTATAGCAATGATACATTCCTCATGCTACTTGGCTACTTCATACACATCTGTAAGAGTTGTAGGATGCTTATAGCAATGATACATTCCTCATGCTACTTGGCTACTTCATACACATCTGTAAGAGTTGTAGGATGCTTATAGCAATGATACATTCCTCATGCTACTTGGCTACTTCATACACATCTGTAAGAGTTGTAGGATGCTTATAGCAATGATACATTCCTCATGCTACTTGGCTACTTCATACACATCTGTAAGAGTTGTAGGATGCTTATAGCAATGATACATTCCTCATGCTACTTGGCTACTTCATACACATCTGTAAGAGTTGTAGGATGCTTATAGCAATGATACATTCCTCATGCAACTTGGCTACTTAATGCACATCTATAAAACTTTTAGGAATAATATCCTAGGAATTAATCTCTAATGAAATATGAATTTCACTCCGCCATTGCAGTTGAAAGATAATTTCAATTGTACAAACCTCTGATTCAAAATGTTATGGTTTGCACAACTAACCAGCCATTAGAAGAAGGAAAATAAATCTAGAAGGAATGAAAAGTTATTAGAAATAAGGAAGAAGTTTAGAGGAGCAAAAAAAGAGCTAAAATGGGGTTCAGATATGGATTTCAATGCTTTCCATTGAGATGTCCCTGCTGGATATTCCTCTTACTGACTCTAACAAACTAACAAAAATGCAAACTGACTCTCCCCTTAAACATTTTGCAGCTTAGCATCCATCGCATCACAACAGTGACCAAGCTATTGAGTTAGGGGCATATATAGATTGATAGCATAACATATGACAATATTAAACCTTTTTCAATAGTAGAGAGGCAAATATGACCCTTTCTCTAAAATATAAACAGAAGACTTCTCCTTTCTCCAAGAAGAAACAAAATGACAGACCATAGACAAAACTCAGAGCCTGAGCAGAAAAAATATATTCTTGCTTTTTCCCAAAAGAGAACTGAAAGGAAATAAAAGATACGGGCAGTCAAACTTGTTTGCCAAATTTTTTTATTTTTTATTTAAAAAAAAAGAAAGATAGAGTAACCATGAAGACCACTGTTTCTTGTGCTTCGTCCAACTCTGATAGTTGATGATCTTCTCACGTCATTTATTCTCAGTTGTTGTGTTTTTTGATTGTAGTCTCAAGAGTACATCTCTTTTACTCTTGCAGGATATTTCTTTTTCTCTTGGATTCTAAATTCTTGTTTTATTCCTTACTTGAGGTGTGCGCTTATTGATCGCTTGTGTGCCGCACCTCGCCTGAAGTGTGGTAGGCGCCATTCTGTTCTTTGCATTGCCTCAGGACCTGAATCTTGCCTTTGTTTTCATTAGAGGCATGAAATGCTCAAAGTGTAATGTTCTTAAATTTGATTTGTCCCAGCTCCTATATTTAACAAACTATATGTTGTATTTTGTTTGACAGATATAATAGGTGTTATACATCAAATTATACGCACATCATTGCTTATTTTTTTACAAATAGTTTAGATATACATGAAAACAGGTCTAGTAGTACAACTTATATCTATAGTTGTACATATACATGTTGTACAACTAGGACTTATTTTCATAGCTGCTTCGCTTCGGGTTGGCGGTATGGTGGGATGTTATATTGAATATGTTTCATACATTCTCGAAAAGTATTTCTTTTTTATTCATTTCGACATGCTCCACTGGTGCTTTAAAGTTTTTGGATTTGTTTCTGCTGTGGGTTCTTCTATTTTCTGATGAAAAAGTGATACTAGAACATTTGTGATGTCGGAGATGATATGTGTGGCTTATATCATATAATATAGCTATCAAGGCGAACCCACCTTGTATCAAAGGAGGTTAATTTAATCAGTTTTGTGGAAAAGAATTACTCTATACAGAGATATAATACATAATTATAGAAAGCTAACCACTTAACACAGATGGATTCCAGTATGCTCGTAAAGGGCTAAATCTGTTGCTTATATCATGCATTCAATTCCTTTGAACTTTTTTTTTCTTTTTTCAATTTATGTTTCCAGCCAGACCCCTTCCACTCTCCCTCTCACACCCCTTCTCTGTTTTTTGATGCATCCAGAGATTTCAATAAAAAGAGTACGAAAGAAAAAAGCAGATGACCTGATTCTGCATTCTGTTTATTTCAGCATTCTCCTTGCTTATAGCATCAACCATGCAGTGATACTTTGTTTTCTTTTTCAGAGTAAATAACTGTAGTAGTTCTTTGGTCACTATTTTTGCTATATTAAGTAAATTTCTTTCATGCCAATTGGTTGGGTAATGAACTAGTGATCTACTTATATGAATTTGGATAATCTTTCCCTCATTAGCTAGCTTTTGAGGTTGAGTTAGACCCAAGTGTCATATGTTTACATGGTATAAGAGCTAGGTCGTTCCATGTTTGGGGCCCAATGTTATATTGTGCACTCTCCAGTTGGGAGAGCTGGCCTTGGGCATTGGGCTTGGGTGTGAAGATGTGGTTGGAGTTTGTATTGGTGGTTTGCTTATATGGACTTGGACAATCCTCCTCATGAGCTAGCGTCTGGGTTGTGAGTAAGGCCCAAATACCATATGTTTACCGGGATTGTTTTGTAGGCTAATATTGGAAATCTCATTCTAACAAATTTATATTTGATGTTTTACCATCTCATCTAACAATTTTAAGTTTGTGAATTTAAAACCTCTGTAAGTAGAATGCTTCCCGCCAAATTTTAATGATGTGGTGCTCTCAAATGTTTTAATATACAATCTTGGAGTAACAACAACAATAACATACCAAATGTAATCTCACAAGTGGAGGCTGGGGTGTGTAGAGTGTATGCAAACGTTACCCCTACCTTGTGGAGGTAGAGAGGCTATTTCCGAAAGACCCTCGGCGCTAGAACAGCAAATCAAAGTAGCTATGGAAAAGGAAATACAACATTAAAGATACACAATTTTGGAGTGGCTGAATAATTATTGTGTCTGTTTCTATTTCTGATTATTGAGTTTTGTGATGTTGCTTATTGTTGTCTTTGTAGCTTTCTTCTAGTGAGGAATAAAAATGGTCTATTGATGTTATCCAAGTCAGTGCAAGTGTTAGGTGTTAGGTCTAGTGGATATCTCATTACAGGATAATAAAAAGAATGGTGAAAGTAATGTTACCAGTTTCAAAAAAAAAAAGAATGGTAAAAGTTTTAATTTGTTTGCTTTATCTTTTAAGGAAGGTGCTAGACTTCTAGGAATTCAGAAAGACTCCTCATTGTGTTGGGCATCAGATTGATAGTTGAATCGAGGAGTTCAACAGAAACTCTGCATATGCATTAGCCTAAGGTTTATAAATATTCAATTTGTTAAATTGCTTGTGTTTAGTAATTTAATTAGCAGAATTTTGAAATTCTTACCAACATTTTCGTCGTTAGTTCTAGATAGTTTTAAAGAAGAAAGTTGGAAAGTAAGTTTTGGGGGACTAGGTACTATTGTGCAGATTAATACAATTTCATCAAGACATTCATGAAGATAAATACGATAGTAATAAGAAAAAAAAAATTATGTTGTTTGGAAATTGAGAATTTCCATTTGAGTTGAGTCAAAGCAGTTGCCTTGGTTTTAGTCTATCATAAGCAAAAAGACATCAAAACCATGCCTTTTGAGCCTAAAAGAATTTTATTTAGGTGGAAACAAATATGACAGTCATTTTGTCTTCAAGTTATTAAAGAGTATACACTAAGTAGTCTTAACAAACCATAAAGAAGCATCCAGCAATTATGAGGCCGCTTATCTGAAATCCTATCTATATTGTTTATTATATCTTATGGGTCATGGTTTGTGATATTCTTTTTCCATTTTTGGCTTCATTTATCAAATGAAACAGGCATATCTCTGGTTTGTTAGATGCCACGTCCAAGCTTTCATTTCCCTATTTAACATTATCTTCTAAATGTGGGCTATCCAGATTTACACATGTGCAATGCACATGTCATCTCATATAAAACATAGACAGCACCAAAGACTTAGTTTTGCTTTCTTGCAACATATTATATCTGTTATTTAAGCTGTAAGGTAGGTGGTTCAAAGAGATCATTTTTCCCCTTCCTATAATTGAATTTTTGTTCAGGATTTTGAGTGTTGGCAGTCATGTGGGTGAGGCATGCAATGATGTCAAGCATTATTGCAAAGAGGGTATCCCCAAAAGTTGATGTTATGTGGGTTGGACTAGTAACAAGATGACACAAATCAATAGCCTCTTTACTGAAAAGGACACTCAAAAGTTTTTTCTTTAAGATTTGTATCAAAATCTATGTCACCATTGGTTCCCTTGGGGACCCTTTCTCATTGGTGTTGACACGTTATTGAAAATTGGTCCCTTGACTTAATCTTCTGCAGCTTTTTGAGGAGATATTGGTTTGTTGGTTCAATTGTTTTCAGCTGAATATGCCTTTAATAAACTCCTTTTTTTTTTTCACAAAATCCAAGTTGTGCTATCTTTTACTTTTAGCATTTTGATGTTCTTGGAACTTTGTTAGTAAAAGGTGGAAATGGCTTCTTGTGGGCCATTTTAGAATCTGTATTATGTGGGTGTTAGAGAATTATGATATAGAGAGCAATCTGATAGTATCTTCATGAAAAGGTGCTTTTTTATCTGATTACTAGTTTTGCTTTATAACTCTCTCTTCTTGATTTTTCCATCTGGTCCATATGCTTTTTGTTGATGTGTTGTACTAGGTATCCCCAACAGGCAAACTTAGTTTTAACATTGTTTGTTTCCTTTAATTGACTAGAAGATTTGGTCCTTTAGGAACTTGAGAAGCCAATATGATGTCAGTAGTGATTTAGCTTAATGAAGTCAGTTACTAGTATTAGTCATAAGAAATCCTGGGAAAGTTCTGGAACTTCTAGAAGCGTCACGAAGTTTCCGAGTCAAAGGATATGTGCAAAATCAGGAGTTTCTTGTTGGAAGCACATGTTTGAAGATTCTAGGTTTTTGTATAGATTGCAGTTGTTTCAAACTTTGTGAGCTGTAAAAAAACTGGATATGTGAGCTGTAAAAACTGGAGAAAAAGAAAAACTTGCTTTTGGTGACTTCAGTTCAGTAGCAAATGCAGGATTTGTGCATTGCAAGAATCTGTTGGCTGGGAATTTACAGACAAAATCCCTGAAATTTGGCTATGATGATGCACTTTTAGACAATTCTAGAATTGAAGAAGCAATGATGATGCTTGCTTTTGCATACTTTAAGATATTAGAAAAAAAATAAAATAGCATGAGCATTTCTATTTTTGGTATAGAAGCAATGAGAGATGATATAGACACCAAAACTTAGCATGTCAAGGGGAAATGAGAACCTTTTCAGCTACCAACTTTTTTTTAATTGAAAAATAATTGAGTCAACTTGCGAAGGAGAGTTTAGAAGCAATTGTAAAGTTGTCCTGTTACAAGTTTGAGTTGTAGAATTAGGTATTAATACTTGCATCAAGTATAGGCTCCTAACACTATGTATCGCGTCCTTCAGTGTGCGATTGTGCCGTCCTTGATTGCACTTTAATGAACTCGGGTTATTTTGTGTATTAAACTACCCTTTATTGAGTCCAACTTGTCACTAGCACAAGTATCAAATAATTCTGCTCACTTAAACTTCAGCAAATGAGAAGAAATCACCTAGTATATTAATAATGTTCTCACTTACCTTTTAATGTGGCTCGAACCTTTAACTTATCGATTGATAATGAAAATGTTCAACCGCTCAAGCCAGCCTCACTTGTCACCATTCTTTTTGCGTGTGGACCTCCCTTGTCATATCCACACACTAAGGCTTCTACCAGACCATAGGTCACACTACCAATAAAATGATAGTGACTATATACATATTTCATTCAGTTTTAGCCTTTTAGGATTCATTAATTATGTTGTACTCCTATCAAATTGTCTTAATCCAATGAGTTTGTTTTGATTAAACCTTAGAATGTCGACATGTGTACTACTAAAAATGTGCATTTTATTATTTTGTTAGTGGACAATGGGCGCATGCATAGACTGAATAAATTTTATTATCTGCGTAATAACAAGGTGGAAATCTAGTTATACAGCAAAAATAAATAAAAATGCTATCCCTTTTTATTTAAAATGTTAGATAATGCCACAGCCCCAGAGAACCTAATTAAATACCAGTAAGTATTAAGAAAAAAAACTAATTAAACTTAATCAGCTAAGTACTACTGTACTAGTATATTAATTGTCTAATGTGATGGTAAACCTAAACATTGGTGGAAATTGGAATTAGCATTTGTGAATAGGAACGTATTATTATACTTATAATATTCATATCATCATTAAAGTTAGTCCGGATAAAATTAAGGATGAATATAATCCTATATTAGTCCGGTCAAAAGGATGAAAAGTAAGCATATTATGATCGATAGAAGCGAATCTGAGATTTAAACTTGGTCAATTTGATCTTTCAATTTTTTTGTGCAGAAACCTTACTGTACTATTAGAGGTCTTTGATTCATATCTAATACTTCCTACGTTCTAAACTACTTGTCATTCTTCATTTCTCGAAAGTCAACTTAATTGATCTTTGGATTGGAGCTTATAAATTTGACTAAAAATTAATTTAATATTTTAAAACTAAACTTTAGGTATCTGACAACTACATGAATAATATTATAAGATGTGGTTCTTTCCATATTAATATGATGTAAAAATACATCTTAAAACCTTTGTCAAAGTTTACATAGTTAGTCTTCCGGGAAAAAAAATGTGGCATGTAATTTGGGATGAAGGGAGTATATATTTGTGAAACTTAGGCGGATTTTTATAGATATATTTATGTTCTACATCGAAAAAATTAGATTCGGATGAACTCGTAACCAAAAGTTACATCCACCACTGAGACTAGGAGAGTACGTAGGATTAGGACTATATTATAGTAATAATTATACATCTTACATCATTAGAAAGTTAACTCCCCATCAACTAACCATGCACTTTACAAAAATTATATATATCTTTAAATTGCTTAATATAATCCTAATCCTACGTACTCTATTTTAAGCATATGAAAAAGTTAATAGTATATGTTATAAATTATAGTAAGTAACCATTAGATATCTTATGTCGAAACATTATGATATGTATATCAAAAACTATATTACTATATATACATATATATTAAATTTTGAAAGACTGTAACAAAATTTTCGACTTTGCCATTCGGTATATATGAACCTTGAACGTTCTTGTCTACTTTATATCGTGCAGCTCTCATATTAGACATTCACATGATAATAGTATGTATATATATATATAGTATTAGTTTAGCTAGGACCAAAAACTTTTGTTAATTTGTTTATATGTGAAAAACACATCATGATATCCGTCATGCTCCATTTAGTATATAGTAGTACTTTTAGAAGCCAAAGCCAATGACATTTTTGTTATATTATAAATACTCTCTCCACATATTTTAATGCCAAAATTGAAGGGAAGTTAATTAGAGCAACGATAAAATTGTCTTTGTCTGACTTATAAGTCATGAATTCAAGTTGTGGAAGCAGTCATTAATTCTTGCATTAGAGTAGGCTATCTACATCACACTATATGAAGCACGACATACCTTTTTCTTGACTCTACTAACATGAGATGTTTTGTGCATACTTGCCGGATGTCCCTTTTTTATTTTATAATAACAAAATTAAATAGAGCACATCATATGTATGTACTGTTGTATTGACCAATCATGAGCTTAATACTCCAGGCATTTTGGGCATCTACTATGGATCAATAGACACCTGCCTTCTCTTTGGCCACATAACTTTGCTTATTATTTTTAGGACCCACCTAATAATTCATGCTCATGTTTCTTTCTCCATCTTCTCTATCTTACCCCTTTTTTGTTGCTTCTTTTGGCCCATTGGGGTGCATGGGGGTTGGGGTGGGGGTGGTATGGGGGGTTTGGTGAAAATTTATATATACTCAATGATAACACCTTAAGCAGATTTAATATTCGAATTATGAGTTCATCTAAATTTTCTAAAAATAAAATGTCTTGTAGAGTTTATTCGAATTCAGTATCTTTTTTTATTAGAATGTTAATTTGAAAATTCACTAAATAGAATTATAAATTAATAGATCCTCAAACCTAGTAAAATAAATGAATTTTGTGATAGCATTTTAAACTCTAATTCATAAATTCAAACTATGAAATTAACTATAATTTACACTAGTGTATGTTATTGATTGAAGTGAAATATATGACACGTATTGATTAGAATGATGTAAATATTAAGTTTGACCAAGTTTTTTCTTCTTCAAGAGGGGGATGATTAATTAAAATCCTTGGTTAAAATTAATGATCCAACATAATGACAAGGCCAAATACTTAATTAATACTCCTATGTTGAACTTGAATTATTATTTCTTCAACAAGGGAAACACTATTGTTATTAACATTTAGTTTCCTAAGTGGTCCAATATAATAAATTTAATCAAGTTTTAAAATTAAATTAAAGAGAGAGTGAGTGTGAATCTGAAAAGCAACATTAGTTGATATATCATTATAGACTAATTAGTAATTACTCATAATGGGAAGCAAACCTAAACACTTAACTTATTGGAATGACTATTTATAAGGTACTAATTATAAGTAATAACAATGCAATATTATAAACAAATTAATTAATCCCTTGTCGAAGGTGACAATATTATTGAGAGTGCAAAATGATGTCTTCTTTTTATTATAAAATAAATAATTTTGTCTTTTTGTCTCCTATGTAGAAGAATAATCTTTCTCTAGTTTAATAACCCAATGAAAATTTCTTAAATCAAATCCCAACAAACAATTGAAACTATATCATCATTTTCCACTAAAACATTTATAATTTTTTAACTTTTTTTAGAAAGAGTAATTTTGAGCATGCATGTTAGAATAATGATATTATATTTATAAAGGTTCAATTTTTGGGTACCTATACAAGTTTAATTATCATTATATCAACATTTATGCTAATGTAACCTAACTATATAATAAAAATGTGAAAAAATTAGTGCTATTATATTTATAAAGGTTCAATTTTTGTGTACGTATACAAGTTTAATTATCATTATATCAACATTTATGTTAATGTAACCTAACTATGTAATAAGAATGTGAAAAAAATTAGTGCATGGTGGATATAGTCCTCGCAAAATGAATTATTAAAATTTCATGTTTCACAAAATGAAAAGGAGCCACAGGATAAACCAACGGCCCTCAGTCTCCCAACTGATTCTACCATAGAGACCAACGGTGGACAATATATAACTCCCTTCCACCCCCCCCCCCCCCCCCCCCCCCCCCCCCCCCCCCCCCCCCCCCCCCCCCCCCC